CCCCCAAACGCATGATGGATTATGAATTACGCATAGCCTCTCTTGCGATTTACGCTCCATATATCTTAAGCGTAGCTTGGACCCCCCCCCCCCAAATACATTTTGCTGGATCCGCCACTGTGGGGGCGTGGTCCTGCGCCCCCCCCCCTGGGTCCGCCACTGCAACCCAATATCAGCCATACTGAATCGGAATGCGAAGAAATGAGATTTCGTAAAGTCTTCTCCTTTCAGTAAGTTAAAGGCAATTTTTGGGATTTCTGAAACGAATGAAAGTTTACAGGTGCATAGCAATCAATGAGAACTACAACATTTTTGGATAGCTTTGACCTCAGATGTTAAGCATGGTCCGAAAAAAAACAAAAAAAAAACATCGTCCTGTTCGGGACTCATAGCGACGTATACAACGCGTGCAAAATACATCATATTTACCAGGGGGGATTGGCACGAGAGGGCGCCATCTGATCTGAATGGAACGTTTCGACGTCAGTCGTCCGTAGCCATCGTCAAAGCAACAACGTCCCGTTTACGAACAGATGAAATAATTTCAGCAATTTCTTTACAGAATAATCCTCAACAAAACTTAGAAAAATTTCATAGACAACTACAGGCTCCAAAATTATTGTCTATTGCAAAACAATTCAACCGACAACCAGTTTGACGCCACAATTTCTTGCTGGAGCCTGAGTTCTACGCGTGATTTTATTGCGTTCAAAACTGTTCCATTTCAAACTGCGCATGCACACACACTGTGGTTTCTCGAAATGCATACTAATTAGGTAACTTGTCACTGATAAAAGTCACCGAAAACATTTTGAGCAATTTTGAGCAATAGTACTAGAGTGAAATTTAAACGTGCCTCTGCATTCTCCATGAATTTCGTAACTTGCTATGATCATGGTAAAGAGAAAACCTATGCTTACTTTCAACACAGTCCCGGTGTTGAGGGACTGTGCTTTCAACAGTTACCTGGAGTCTGATCGAAAACGTGTCTCAAAAATACCTTTACATCATTTTTCCGATTATTTTTTCAGCTCGTAACGATAGAATCAGTCAATTTAGAACTAACACGTATGCTATCGGAAAGCATTTTGGCACAATATTACTGAAAAAACGAGTTTTTCATTGCTCATGAATATTAATTTATGCAAATGAGGCGATTATTTCAACCAATCGTGTCATGCAACTCTCCCCCCCCTGATATTTACATGAAATTCGAACACGCGCTGCGCGACGACCACCGCGCTTTAAATGATTTTTCTACACAACCGAACATGCCACATTCGATCCATCTTCGCATTTGTGCTCCCATCACTTGATAATATACTCGATTGTCATGTTCAGAACTTACTCCTTCCACTTTAGTTGGTCATTGAAGCCTCGCACATCAGCCACTTTTGGCCAAACTATAAGTATGGGAAACGCTGAACGTGTTGTACCTTCACACTTTGTGAATTTTGCGTGTTTGAAACGTATCTCGCACATTTGGCGTTTTTTTACATGCTTGTTTCGCATTTCGAACCGGGAGCAAACGTACGGGGATGCACTTGTTCTGTATTCCAATCCAATAACCAGATCATTAAAATATAATTTAACATTAACGATGCTATATTTTACCGACTGTGTATAATAAATGAATTGACTAGAAATATAGCAACATTCGACGACATCCCGAAAACATAAAATTCAATATTCTAACAATCTTATTTAAATTTGCCTAGTCTAAAAACAGTTGACAAAAGTCGATAACAGATTTACTACTAGACGGTCACTAACGGTCAACAAATAGTAGAATATTACAACCAGTGTACCAATATTACATGTATTGTATTAACAGTGGCGGCGGCACCGGGTTGGCGGGCGTTCAGCTGCTAAACAGATTCACAATTAGGAAAAAAAATATAGGTTTTGCACCACCTGTGTCAATTTGAAACCGCGATAACAGGACTATCACGGAGTAAACAATACTCGATAACAAGTATATCGCGAAATCATTAATAACAAGTACATGTATATATATAAAATAATCAAAACTCTATAAAAGGTCCATCAAAACTTGGTAACAGGTCTGCCGCGAAATCAACCATACTCGATAATATGTATATCGCAAAAATCTCTAAACGAAACGCCTATCGCGAAATAATCAATCCCAAATAACAAGTATATCGCGAAATCACCAATACTCAATACTCAATAACAAGTATATCGAGAAATCATCAATACTCAAATAACAAGTATCTCGAGAAATCATCAATACTCCGTCGATAACAGGTCTGTCGAGAAATCTACAATACTCGATAACAGGTCTGTCGCGAAATCTACAATACTCGATAACAAGTATATCGCGAAATCATCAATACTCAATAACAAGTATATCGCGAAATCATCAATACTCGATAACAGGTCTGTCGAGAAATCTACAATACTCGATAACAGGTCTGTCGCGAAATCTACAATACTCGATAACAAGTATATCGCGAAATCTACAATACTCGATAACAGGTATATCGCGAAATCATTAATACTCGATAACAGATCTGTCGCGAAATCTACAATGCTCGATAGCAGGTCTATCGCGAAATCATCATTCCTCGGGGGGGGGGGGCGAACATCCGGGCATTTTCACCGCCTGGCAACCCTCGCGGTGAAAACAAAGGCCAAAAACTCGCAGAAAACGGGTGGTTGTTGAGACTCCCCTGTACAGTGTAACAAGATTAGCACTACGTATATAACATATATAAATTTGGTTGTTTAGAATTACTTCAAAGTGTAGTTTGTGTTGTTTTCTCGAATTTTCATCGGCTTTCCACAGCAGCGCGCACGAACCCTTAGATATACGCATACAGTGGTACGCGTCTTAGCAACGTGGAACGTCTTGTGACGTAGCCCCGCCCCCGAGGATACTCGATAACAAATATTTTGCAAAAATCCTCAAAACTCAACAAGTATATCGCAAAATCATAGAAAGACAAACATAAAATACAAACCGGTCTCATGCACTTATACATTGTACG